TTTGTTAAATTTATCTAAATATACACATTTTTAGTCCCTTAATTTAAAGTGGATGGACGAAAAATATAAATATTAAAATTTGAGAGACTAAAAATGATCATTTTAAACTTATTTTTAATTTATAAGAATATCATAGTTTTAAATATTAGTATCTCTTATCTTATTTTAAAATTTGATATTTAATTTATAAAAATATATATATTTATAGCGATAAATCCGAAACGGTACACGAAAAATTCCGGTATCCGGTACGTACCGTTCCAGTAGCAAAACCAGTACACATACCGATACGGTATTGACTATTTTGATGCATACTGCTGCTGACTGCATAGTCCCCTGCCCGTGTATAAAAAAAAAAAAATTCAAATCATGTCCATGTCGAAGTCGAACTCCTTAGTTCTAGTATAAAATAAAAATGTAGGTGTCTTGGACCTCTTGGTATTTAGGCATTTCCAGCAGACAATGTTAGCTATTCTAGATATGGATTGGAGATTTGGATCTCATTTCGTTTCTTCTTTTATTACAATTGATTGCATCTACCAAAATCTTGTTACAAATCAGATTCTGGCTATGTTGGGAACTAATGCCGTGCCTTTCATTTTTTTTGGTTGAATGCCGACTATTGAGTGCTACTGGTGAATCATGAATGTGCATTTCTTTAAGTAGTTTTGTCATTTTTAGATCCGTTTCTATTTCTCTGCAGTTTCATGTTTTAATTAGCAGGGTTGCTCTGATATTTTTCATTTAATTTTTATTGTGTAATTATTTGCTTTTTTTATTGTGAAAATGAAAGTGAATAACTTTGGACTGGAGTTGGTGGAGTTACAGGTTATGGAATTCCTCCATATGAGGATTCTTATAATTATGTACAAGATCATTAATTTTGTTGTTTGTTTATAATTGTCACTTGACAGAAACAATTGAAGAACTCTTGTGATGAACCATTAGGTATCTGTTTCATCATTCATTCTTTTTAACTTTTATAAATTGAATGTGATTTGTTATCATCTATTTAATGATTGTCATTGTCTTAATGTCTTTAACTTAAATCATCTAAAGTATCTTTGCTTGGGTTATAATGGGTTTAGGTTAATAGTTGAAAAAAAAAGAATTGTTACTAACTCAAAAGGTTTTTTCAAATCTTATCCTTAATTACATTAATTTCTCTTATAAAAATATATTTATAGCGATAAATCCAAAACGGTAGTTAAAAAATTTTGATATTCAATAAGTACCGTTTCAGTAAGAAAACCTATACACATGCCATTATGGTATTGACTCCTTTGATTCCAGGCTGGTCTATTTCCTTTTTTGTGTTAAGTTCAATCTTCTAAAATTTGCTTTTTGGTCGTTGATCATGGAAGAGGAAAATCGTGTTCTTAGTTTGAGCTGGATTTTGAGATTTGAGTTCCTACACTTCTTCCTGGGAGCTATTGCCAAAGATACAAAGGATATTGCTCAATTTTCTATTTCCTTTTCTGCTCTTGATTCAATCTTTCAAAATCAGGTTGCGTGTTCTCAGTTTGAGTTAGATTTTGAGATTTGAGCACCTAAATAACAATCCTCCCTGTAGATTGGGTGTTCACTGTGAAACCTCAGGGAGTATTGCTTTTGCCTTGATGCTCATTGATTTTCATCCAAATTTTAAAGGTTTGAAGGTTTGATTCTGCCTCTGGAGTGGATCCTGATATCTGTCAAGTAAATGTTTCTTTTCTTTTTTTTTTCTTGGATTTTTTTCTCTCTTTCTATGGGTATTGTTACGCAATGTATGTTTTTTTTCTTTGGTTCGGATTTCGGGTTTCCAGAATTAGCTTTTTTCTTAGCATTTGCTGTTGATTTTGACAGGAAAGGTGGGAATTTGGATCTGAAAGGTGGGTTATTTAGCTTGGTTGACTTGGCTTCTATTGGGTGCTTCTGTGTGTGTTCTTTTTTCCTAGACCATTGACATTTGTTTGCATCTGATCTGGTTAGCATTCTCCTTTCTGTTTACTACTAGTTTCACTCTTGATCTAGGTTCTTCCCAAACTTGCCAGTATAAGGCTTCCTTCTCCAAATATTTTTATAACTTTTATCTATAAATATTGGAAAGTTAGTAAGCCATACAAAGGAAAACTTGGGAAATTATGTCATTCTGGCGTTGTCCATTTTGAAATAATAATGGCTTACTGTAGTATTATTATTATTTTTTTTTCTGGTGCGGTGATGGATTTTGCTTTCCTTTTGTTAAATGGTGTTTGTTTTTGTACACTAACTCTTTTCATATCTAACATCTTCCATAGATGCATACATTCATTTGTCCATACATGCATCCATTCATTTATCCAAATGTGAATGTGGTTCTCTTCTCTCCAACTCCAATTGCAGGAATTTCATGATCATTTGACCGATATTTATCCATAAACTATGAGGATGCAGTGAGAAGGAGCTAGGATTTGGTGCCTGGATGCAGTGAGAAGAAGCTAGGTAGGATTTAGTGACCAAAGCAGCTATCATCAGAGGATCAATCTTTCTGCAATCTGCTATTTGAATGGTTTGTCTCCTGGTCTTCATATTCTCTTCTCTTCTGCAACTTGGCATTTGAGGCTCCCTTTTTTCTATTTGCTCAAAAATTACCAATATGTCTTGATAATTGGTTTAACCAACTATTAATGGATTCTATTTTGTATTATCATAACTGATTTACTTTGTGAGTAGGAATTGAAAAATTAGATCATATTAATATATCTACAGTTTGGAACTTTTATCTATAATACATAATGTGCTCTATACTAAGTAAAATGGCGTCTTGGCTAAATTTTTTTTTTTTTTTTTGAAAGGCATTGCAGAGATCCCAAATGGGAATTGTTGCCCTTTTATTTTTTATTTCATGTGGTTCTAGCTGCCGTGTTTGGTTGCTGAGGCAATATGGGGAAAAAGTCTTACAAAGCATAAAAATTTGGTTAAATGGGTTTTTCTTTGGTGGCTGTTAAAAAAGATGGGTATATATTTACATTGTTTTTGCATTCTTAAAAGAAGTAAAAGCTGGTTCTTGCAAGTATGCAACCTTATGCTCACTTTTCTTTTATGGTAGTTTTGGTGAATCAAAGATGGGTATATATTGACATTGCTTTTGCCGGTAGTTTATACTGCTATTTTGTTTATAATATGATTTGTTTTTGTGAACATATAACTCTTTTCAATTTTGTTTTGTGTTCGGCTGTCATTTCTTAATTCTGTGCTTTCAATACAATTCTCTTGTTGCCCCAGGGGAGTCCAAGCCTCTGAAGGTTTTTGACAGAACAGCTAGTCAGGTGAATAAACTAATAATTAACTACGATTGTGATCCTAATGAGAAGTGGTTGGCCTTGATTGGAATTGGCCTTGGGCCACCAGAGGTATGCACATTTCTGTTTATTTATATGGCAGTTTATTGATTAATACCTTTTGCTTCATATTAGGATTTGTCTGTTATTTAAAGTGGCTGACATGTTTCAGTCATTCTTAATAACTCATATGTTTGATGCATGGTACAGTTTTCTTGAAGGGCATAGCAGTGAATGGATTTCCTTATTTTGCAGACTTTTTTGTTTAATTCATGAGAAACATGTTGTTTTCCTTTAAATAGCATCTTATGTTGGCTATTCACAATTTCACATTCTGTTGCAGATGCCAAATTTGGCAAAAGGGATTATGCAGCTCTTTTATGTGGATGAAAAGCATGGTTGCGATCTTGAAGCACATGCTGCATCGTTTGCCACATTTAAAGTGTGTTTTTGGTCCTTCAGTCTTGTTTTGTTGTCTATTATCTTTGGCTTTTGAATTCTCTTTTTTATTTTCTGTCTGTGAACAGGTACCTGGAAATGAGAATCCTTCAACACTTATTTCTTTTGCCACAAAGTCATCCAATGCTGGGAAAATTGAGTCAAAGTTGCATGTGATCGAACTTGTTGCTCAGCCAGGTTTCTTATTCTTCCTGCATTCACTGGCTTGTTCTTTTATGAACATGTGCACAGATAGAGAACTGTTAATTGCTTCATCCTTAGATACATGCTTCCGATGCTTTATGAAATTGCAAATTGCCATGTTTTTATTTCCTCATGTGCTTATTTTATTTATTTATTTATTATTGACCTTGTCAGGCAAACCTTCATTCACTGAGAAACAAGCAGATCTGTTCTTTCCTCCGGACTTTGCTGATGACTTTCCTGTGTCAATGCAGGTATGGATGTAGCCTTTACTGGTTTGTTTGTTTTTTTGTTTTTTTCTAAATAGGTTACAAATTGGGGATGGGGAAACCGAACGCAACACAAGGAGTTGGGGATGGCAAAACCATTAGGTCAAGAAGGTCAGTTGCTATTGGTTTGTTTGTTTTATTATTATTGTTTTTTATGTTTTCTATAGTTTCACTAAAACTGAGGTGGATGTTATTTTTACCATTTTGTTGTAAGCTTATAATATCACCTAACATTATAATTATATTATTGTTTAAAATTAATGAAAAGTATATACAAATTAATTAAAATTGATTAATAATAATCAAATTGCTTTTTAGATAAGATGCTAAATGAAAAAGGTTTATGAAAAGTATGGTTAAATAAAACCTTAATGTTGTACAAAATTATTACATTTTCATCTATATTGATGCTTGGTTTGACAGTGTTATGTCATATTCATAGATTTTTTTTGTCTTTTACTATCATAAAAATATTTAAAATATTAATTAAATTTAGTAAAAATATATTAAAAATTAATTAAAATTA